TACTGATCACAAAGTACTGTAGCCAATGTTATTTTTTCCTATTGTGCTGATTTAACCCAATGTGATTAGTTCATAATTCAACATATTGTGTGAATCCAGAAAATTAGTTTAAGTAAAATGTGATTGTACTAATACAGAAGCATATTGTATAAATACAATGTGTAAGAGGATAGACAATCATTTCAGCAGTCTGTAATTTGTGCCAATTCTTAAATTACTTTTAGCTTTAAAGTATTAGAGAATTCTTAGATTAAAAGGAGACAAAGATAATCTCAGAAACCTGGAAAAGAGTATTGTTTCACATAGACTAATTATTATAGACATATAATTGGATTTTTAAATAAGCTGAGTAATAACTTTTGCTATTCAGATCAGATCAGGTATGAATTAAAAAGCCTCTCCTTGTCCTAGCCGCAGTTCAACTTCAATTCAGAATTTTAAGATGCTGTGTTAGTTTGTATAAAGGACTCCATTCCCAGGACTCAGCTTGTATAGTCTTTTGAATTAAATATTTGCATTTTATAGTGGAATATAGTAACTTTTACTTTCTTCCTTATATCAAAATAAAAAATACATTTTGGAATTTGTATTTTTAGATATTAATGTATACCCGGGATTAGCTGTGTTTTTTCAAAATGCTTTGATATTTTTCAGGTAAGTAGTAATGCCTAAAGAATTGAATGAGTAAGTTAAAGTTAATATTTAAAATTGTTAATTCAGACAGAAGATTCTCCATCACTGTATATCAAAATTAAAAGTTAAGTAAATATTAAATCTAATAATAAAACAGGAAATTTTAAGCAAATCATTAAAAAGGGGCATATACTAGGCTACCGCAGTGTGGTATTTGCAAGGCATTAGATTTCCTGCTACTATCATTTGATAGGTTAGGTAATAAATCCATTTCTAATTTCAATATTGCTGGTTAGATTTTCAAAAACAAATTACCAGCTCATAGTAGAATAGCTTTCCTAGTCTCTATGTCTGATCAAACATCTGGAGAACTGCTTTATTCAGACATACAAAACAAAGGCTGCCTTGATCAAAGGAAATATATATAAGTTCAGTTCTGTGATAAAGTCTCCTTCAACTTGTGTCCTTGAATATCTATCTGAAGACCCATGCTTTGCGCAAGTGTCTTTTAGACTTCAGTTTTTAAATAATCAAGTAGTTCTCAAGATGAAACCAGAAGTACATGTTCTCTTTTCCTTTGTCTCCAGGATTTATTCCACTAGACTTTGCTCATTAAGGGAGGCTGTATAGACAGTGCTATATCTTATCAAACTTGTGACTAGTACTATTATTATCACAGTTAAAGATTTGCATAGCCTTGTTTATATATGCAGGTACATATAGAAAGAGGTTTTACTGTTTAAAAATCACAAGGTTTTTACTGTTTAAAAAAAACTGATTACACAACCTTCCTCTCAAGATGGAAAAATTAAACAACATCTTTGATGGGTGCTTCTAAGGTCATCTTTGAAATGCCCACCAATAACAATGCCACACCAGTTCAACACAATTGAGGCCAGAAGGAAAGGTGATTAGGCACAATTTCACCAATAAACCTGAGAGGTTAAATATTATTTACCCTCCCCTCCCCCTTAACTGTTTCCATTCAAGCAGTTATTCATTAAAACACACAACTGAAATCTGTATACATTTTAAGAATGGCCCTTTGAGTTTGTTGACTTTATCTTCCTTTTCTTTTCCATACCTTTTGGATTTTAAATGATAGAAGCAGTATGCTTACAGAGTGTTTAATATATTTAGCAACTTTAAAAGCCATGATGAAGTTTCTTACTGAAATGCTTTCTTTTAAAACAGTAGTTAGATTAACAGGCAATGTGGCTACATATCCTTCACCTCAATGTGCTTTCACAATTTCTTTATTTTGTTGGATTCCTTTTAACATTAAAAGAGTACATTGTATATCTTGTTATTTTCTGGAAATGATAATGCATTCCATTAGAACATGGGTGTCAAACTTGCAGCATCACCTTGCCGTCATGAGATGTATCACAATGTTTTTTTCCCTTTGTGGAGCTGGGGTGGGCGTGGCCTGTGCGTGATGCATCCGCCCCAAGGGCCGCCAGTTTGACACCCCTGCATTAGAGGGAAAAATAAATACTGACAATTTAATTCAGTTAAAAAGGCTTTGTTGGTGTGCTACTTTAACTTCCACTTTTTAAAAAGTGCTGTTTGAAAAGATCATAATGCCAAAGCACTGGATACTGGATTATATTGGATTTAATCCATTATTGCTATATGCTTTTGCTTATGACAAGCTTGTCATATGCTTTTGCGTTTAAAACTAGTGATGGACCAATTAATTGAAATATATGCTAGTTTTTATGGTGCCTTTTTACTGAAGAATAAAATGATGTTTGACTTACAGATCTAAATTTTTGTTTTTGTAGTACTCTTATCTACAAATTTGGAAGAACAGAAGAATTGTGGGCATAAGAATCCGGTTTTCTTCATCCTGCATAGTAACTTTTTATGTAAATATAATTTACATTTTGTTTTTATTTTGCCAAGTTCATTGAATTACACATATTGTACGTTTATTTTTTTTAAGTGAACTGATTTTAGGATTTTGTTCCAAATTTTTAGTAGAACAAATTTGTTCATATGTATATATTATGGTTATCTGTAATCTATGACCCTAGCCCTTTATTGCCACTGGCATTGTTTTGTTCTGATGATACATAGGGAATATTATAAATATATAGGTTTTTCAAAAACACCTGCTCTTAAGCACAAATAAGCCTAGTACCTTTTCAGATGGTATCAGCCAAGAGGCAAAGATTTAGTGATGGAAAAATGAGAGACTGAAATTTCTCATGAATAATATCTGCAAGATTCCATCATTATATGGTAATGCATGACTACACCTCTTTAAGCTTCAATTTTTTAAAAACGATTGTGTAGACGAACACCATATTCCAAAGTGTTGCTTCATATAATACTAATTTAACAAGTTTGTGAATAGCCTATGTTACTGCAGATGCACTCTTAATTTTTTTTAGCACGGCATGCCTTAAAATGGGATGGTCCCTAAAAGTGCTGATAAATTTGATGTATCAAAAATCAATATGAAATTTTACAATATTTAGGCATTTTGTTAAAGATTTTTTTATATCACTTAAGATTCTGTTCATATATTATTTATACATAGAGATTGCAATTATTTTAATGCAGAATTGTTGCATATTTTATATGCCAATGCAATATGCAAAGTAAGGGAAGTTTTATGTTAAAAAAAATTCAGGAACTCTCTATTTTATTGTTTACTTTATTAGGATAATTTCTTTGTATCTTTAGATGTGATCTTCTAAATTCCAAACGAAAACGATCAGTGGAGAGAGAGTATATATTTTTATTACAATGTATGGCAAGACTATCATCTTAAATGTTTTCCAATAAAATTTAGATATTTAATTTATATAAATGAACATGTATGCAGTGACATATTAATCTAGACTAACTATATACTGAAAATTATGGCATGCAGTATAATTTAAAAATTCTGCTAAATTATGAATACTCAAGTTGCTCTATAGTCTGACTATAGAAGGTCTACTGAAGCAGATATTCCAGCTTTCCTACCTTGCATGCCTTGATTTTTCCTATAGCTAGAAAATAAACCTGGTCAGGTAGTTATGTCTTAAAGACTTTCCTAGCCTTCTCAAAGGACAGACTATGAAGCAAACTTGACATGCTAAGTGTTGTCCTTTTTCTGTTTTCTTGGAGCAGACCATATTTCAAAGATTAAACTATTTTGTTCATTGTAGTTACATTAAAGTCAAATAATCAGAAATATAAAAATGCTTTGTTTTATATATTAACATGATTTTATGAGACCATCCCATAGCAATGCTTTATCTTACCTGTGTATTATCAAAAGGTACAATATAATTGCAGTAGAAATGGGGTCTCCCAAAACCCTGTCCATGGATTTTGTCCTTCATACTTGTCAGTCACGCTGCCTTTTGTTTGAGAGGGAAAGAAACCTAGCTATGGACTTCAGAAAAGGAAAGAAGAGATGATGGTAATGGTTATGGCAGGGAACTCAAGAGGTGTACAAAATGAAGAGGCACAAAGTACTTCACCCTGAAGCAATAAAGCAGCTACATCCTTCACATGGCCTGTGCAACTGCTTAAAAGTTATCATTGGCTGTGTCCAATTGGATGTCCATGCATAGTTAAATAGCTGCTGTCAGTGTTGTCAGTGCACAGATAATCTGGAATAAAGCAGTGTGCAAATCTCACAAAGATGTGCTGCATTGGGGCATAATAGAAGGGTACTTTTGAGCTAATACTTTGTAAATCACCAATTTCAAATACCTGCACAACTGTACCAGTATATATCACAAAGAGCTAAAGGTTATATGAAAAGCTGTGTCTGGGTTTTTTTTAAGTGTTACGTTTGGTGGGCATATCATGGTATTGCAAATACTATGATACAAAGACATCTGAGGTATTGCCTGGACTTTGGTAAACAATTCCTTCTAGCATGCATTGAACAAGTAATGAGTAGAACTAGCCTCTAAGCCATTAAATGAGAGCCATGCTGGTGCCATGATTACAATACAGCATTGCAGGCTAATTCTCCTCACTTGCCAGCAGTTTGATTCTCACTGGCTCAAGGTTGACTCAGCCTTCCATCCTTCCGAGGTAGGTAAAATAAGGACCCAGATTGCTGGGGGCAATATGCTGACTCTAAACCAGGGGTGTCAAACTCATGATAACATGTTACATGATGTATTGCAACTTTCCCCTGCTTCGCTAAACCAGGGGTGGGCATGGCCAGTGCGTGACCCCTGCTGTAAACCACTTAAGAGTGGGTTGTAAAGCTCTATGAAGTGATATATAAGTAAGTGCTAAATGCAAATATTTTCAAAAATTGTACAGCATACCACTCTTAATTCCAGCCAAGACTATTACATTTCAAAAAGAATTTTATTTATTCATAATTTTGGCACACAAATTTTTTAAACTGCTTTCTTGCATATTAACATTTTTCCACCAATGAGATAAAGGGTAATTGCCAATCATTGGCTGAATTTAACATTAGTACTACATTTTGTGTGATGTTTAACACAAGCATTTTTAGAGTTTAGTTTTAGCTCAATGCAGAGCTCTCCAGTTTTAGGAGACTGAGTACCAGATACATTTGAAATATTCAGTCTTCGAACTTAAAAGATAAAGTGAGAAACCTATAATACCCATTAATCAGCCACGGTTTTAATACAGGTTCTGGCATTTGATTTTATGGTTCTTCCAAGAAAGACACATATACATTATATACATACATTACCAGGAGGAAAACAAGGACAAATTCTTTCCAATGTTATCAAGAATTTTAAGCAATTTTAATCCTTAAACAGCAGAAAGTACCATTAATCTTAGGCCGGGTGTCCAATTAAAACTGAATTCTCACTACAAACAAATAGCAGCATATTCAGGTAGTCCTTGACTTACAACAGTTCACTTAGTGACTGTTCAAAGTTACAATGGCACTGAAAAAAGTGACATGGCCATTTTTCACACAATTGTTGCAGTATCCACATAGTCATGTGATCAGAAATCAGATGCTTAACAACTGACTTGTATTTATGATGGTTGCTGTGTGCCAGGGTCATGGGTCAAAGGGGAAGCGATATTCACTTAACAACCATGTTACTAACAACTGCAGTTAACCATGGCATAAAAGGTTGTAAAATGGGGCAAAATACGCTTAAATATTTCACTTAGCAACAAAAAATTGGGGTTCAATTGTCATAAGTCGAGAACTAGCTGTAGTCAGTTCCTTCCCAGTATTTTCTAGGGTATAAACAGTACAAATGTATATACATTACAAATTCAGTGCAAAAATAGTATAAAAATGCCTAAGAACTCAACATTTCCTCTGAAATCACATACAAGTATCATGAAAACTATGAAATTATTTAAATTGGCAATTAAATGGGTGCCATACAAGGTTGGCTGGGTTGGTTGGTGCCATAATATATACATATTAACAAGGTTGGCAAGGTTGGTTGGTGCCATACAACCTCAAATCTTGCCATAATAAAGGAAGGAAATCCAAGGAAGGGACAACCTGTAGTGATTCTGGAAAAGGGAAATATAGAAACTTACCCTACTGCAATTCTCAGTAATCTCAATGCTTAAGCAATTGCCTTGAATTCTATATACAGTACTGTTTAACTAAGCTTAACAGCAAGAAGAGCATGGAATAACACACCTGGAAATCTTCAAATGCTGCTAGTAGCCAGTCCAATTGAATTTTTTTAAAACAAAAAATACAACTGGACCATAGTCTGATCTGTTAAAGTTGATAGGAAGTCAAATTGTCACACAGCCAAGTCACAGAAAATTACAATAATTGAAGATGTGGTTGTTCCATGAATGTTGGAAGCAAGTTCCCAATTAATAAACAGGCTGCATCTGATCCACCAGACTTAACTACCGTGTTTCTCATATAATAAGGCCGGGTCTTATTTTTTTTTGAACCCTGAAAAAATGGCTAGGGCGTCTTTTCGGGGGTGACTTAATTTCCCCCCCCTTGCATCTTTGGGTGGGCGGGCGGCGATGGCTTGGATGTTGACCTCAGTGTTGGTGGGGCACTTCGTATCGGGGTCAACGCAGGCAGCACCATATCCAGGTGTGCAACAAAAGTACTTCCTAATGGCAAGCCCCCCCACCATTCCCCCCCATTTCGCACGTTTTAATATAGGCCTTAATTTGGGGGGGAGGGGTTTAATTTCATTTCATGCCTATAAAACATGCTGGGACTTCCTATTGGGGGAGGCCGTATTGTTGGAGAAACAGGGTAGTAAAAGGACCTTCAGTCCATCATGCAGGGAAGTTCTTCTAATTCCATCCTGTTCAAGAACAGCACAAACTTATTTGAAACACATTATTCCATTCACCAGCTGCAATCGACAGTATTCAATTTTACATTCTTAAGATTGCTCCAAATTAAGAAGTTTAATAATGTAAACATCAAGCCTGTAAATTAAAACCAGGTCAAAAGTGTTGTTATGTACCTCTGATATATTTAATAGCATTGAAATTTCAAGTGCCAAGCTAATTTTGCCAATAGCGAAATTTCAGGTCAGATCAAATTTCTCCTAAGTCTACTGCAAAAAGTTTTAATGAGGTAATGCTGGTGTAAACTATCCTTGATATAGGACAAAACTCTAACCATTAGAAAAATATATATGCATGAGGCAATAGGATTTGTGTTCTCCTAACATTCACACTGAAATTCATAAACATTGATTCAGACTAAACCTATTGAAATATTAGGACTTTCTTCCAAATGAAGAAGCATGTGCTATGAAAATCAGTTTCTTAATTCACAGTGCTACGCAGACAGATGAGCGGAACTTCCTTAGCAATTGGGTGATCTTTAACAAGAAACTAAAACAATGATAGTAAAGAATAAGGTATAAGTGATGTAAAATATTTTTCATCATATTATTTATCAACTGTGTTCGCTGGTAAAACTTGTCAGAATCTTATCATCTTCTGCTTTGGAGGTAACTGAAATAATGTCCCAAGGGTTTTCTCCTGCAGAGTTCTGAAATTCTTCAATTGTAATCATTTGGGGGTCATTAAGGTCCTGAAAAAAGCATTAGAACTGTTAGAAACCAATAAAAATATATTCATATTTGCTATGATTATATTGAAATGCAAAATAGCAAACAGAAAAGCAATTCATAATATTTTCTTTGAGGAAAATTCTATTGAATTAAGGGGTTTCATTCATTTCATATAAATGTTCATACAGATTTATAACTGAAATGGGGTCTTGATTGTGTGTCCAATTTTATATTTAGAGAGTTCAGTTGCAATAAATTGGATTTTTAAACAAATTTTATCATTTCTAGGATGTGCCAAACTTTAAGCTAATATTTTTGCTTACAGAAATGGTGTCTTATTTGCAAGAAGGAAAGAAAGATGAGAGCACATGATCAGGCACTACTGTGGAGAAAATTTTTATGCTCCTGTGATTCAGATTGTTATTAATCTCTAATTTAACCATGCTGGAATATAGCAGCAGGCTGCAAGCATATTAAACGGTGATTTATGACAGTGACCTGCAATGTCTGTAGGTGCAAGAGCTCTGTAATAAATGGCTTTGTATGTCATGTCCAGGGTGACATTCAGGAAATGGATCAGACTCAGCTTTATTTATTTTCTAGTCTTACTATTTGAAATATTTTGGCAAGAATAAAACCCCCAAATTAAAATAGTTGTGCAGGTTTTCTTTTTCATTGGGAAAATCAAAGACTTCGTTTAATACTGTATCTATCTCTACCATTTAAAAAAAAACTTCCATTTTTGTAAATGGGCAGAAGAGCCAATTTGATGTAGAGACTGAGTTCTAGTCTCAGTTTAGGCACAAAACCAGCTAGTTGACCATGGGCCAGTCACTTTCAACCCTAGGAAGAAGGAGATTACAAACCACTTCTAAAAAAACACCCCCAAGAAAACTGCAGGAAGTGTCCAGGCAGTCTCTGAGAATGTACACAACTGAATGGAAGGGAGAGGGGGGAATCAAATACAGGTAGTCCTTGACCTACAATCTTTTGTCTAGTGACCAGTGGCTAAAAAAATGATTCATGTCCATTTTTCACATGACCACTGCAGCATTCCCATGGTCACATGACCAAAATCTAGACACTTGGCAACCTTATGGCGGTCTCCTTTTGTGACCTGGCAAGCAGGCCTCCCCACTGACTTTCTGACAAAGTCGGTGGGGAAGCCAGATTCATCTAACAACCATGTTATTAACAGCTGCAGTGACTCACTTAAGGACTGTGACAAGAAAGGTAAAATGGGGCAAAGCTCACATAACAATTGTCTTGCTTAGCAATGGAAATTTGGGCCTCAATTGGGGTTGTGAGTCAAGGACTTCATTTAATCCTACAGCTCCCTCTGCTGTTGAAAAAGGTTCTCTTGTTTAACAGATCAAAGAGCAAATGAAAGAAGAAAGTTGCCAAAATAAGATGCAGTCAAGGGCCCTGTTTTTGCATTTTGTAGTCTAGACAAGGATATAACAAGAGAAATGAGCCTATTAAGCCTTGTAAAAGATTTGGGATGGAGGTTTTTTTTTAAAAAAAGTAATCCATTAAAATTGTACGTTGCCTGACTCTTTTAACAATTCTGCTGCTCACAACAATCAAAAGAAAAAAGAATGGCAAGCGCAATGAGGAGGGATTGTACTCTTGCTTGCCAAGTGTTTGGGTAAAGAACATTACCCTTCTTCCTTTGTGGCTCTTCTAAACAACAACCAAGTGGGTTGCATGGAGATTTCAAGCTTCTGCTATACTCAACCCTCTGTCCTTAATCCTAGTACATAAAAAAGGTCAGTTCTACTCATTCTGAGCGCTGGATCTAAGATCCTAACAGGCCTTTTTACAAGCCTAATCTATGCATCCTTAATCTTTGTTTTGAAACTGCTTTTTGTGTTTTAAAAATGGTACTTAAATAAATATTCACTTTTATTAACTCATCTCTATTCTACTTCAATATAGTTTTTACTATTTTTATATTAATATTTACTTACAATTCTTATGGTATTATATATAGATTATATAAGAATAAGTTTTGTGTTTTTTTTTAAATGTTCTTAGTGTGCTAATTCATAGTCCTTATGCTTCACTGCTGGAATCTGATTTTTACATTCTTGGTTCTCTAATGTTTGTCTATAAATGAAATATAGGTCTGAGCTGCATAAATAAAATAAACTTTAACTAAATACTCTCTACAGTAATTTACTATGTAAGCACTATAATGACACTTGAGGCATAGAAGGATTTGCAAAATAAATAAATATACCAGAAATTTTCAGGAATAAATCCAGATTGCAATTACTGTACACCTTATATTTAACTAGTTCCCATTTACTGAAAAATACTAGCTGACTCAATATTAAGCAATTTCCATCTAACAATGTTTCCACAAAAAATCAAGAACAAGTCAAATAAAGTCTAGAATTAATAGTTATATGCAAAAGTCCCAGCAACCTTATTAAATTGTTTGCTTCAAGTGGACAAAGCCCAATAAAACATTTACATGAAACAAAGCACAGGAATTTTGATAAAGTAATTCCCCTGACTTTTGGAGTACAGATTCCCCTAAATGATCCAGCCTCACTGACATATTTATAACCAATCACGATTTCTATTTAATCCATGATTAATGGTGTACGTTTTTAACCTGCACCATTACCCTCAGTTCACAATCACAGCAAACTTAATGTGTGAGGGTCAGGGTACAAAGACTGCATGGTTCTGGCTAAAAGAAGCTGCAATGTTAAGTCACAAGAAAAGGACCCACCATCATACATTAACATGTCTCAAGTCCAGCTATGTCTGAGTTTACTACAGAATAAAGGATGGAAATGTGCCTAGCCTCTATAATACAGTTGTATGTAAGTGAATTCCAGGTACGGTTTACTACAATCGGACATTATTGCAAGTCAGCAGAAATACGTACCTCTGCATAGTGTGATGGTATTGTTAGAGGAGGTTGCCAAAAGGACTTAATTATATTTTGATACTTCCGAATAATCATTAACAGTGAAAATACTAAAGCTAGCATTAAAAACACAGATACAAGTATCAATAGGCAATTGAGAATTCTTGTTCTCTCTGAAAGAGAAAGGGACATTGATATATTATTAGCACATTGAAAGACACATTTGCTACAAATGTCAGAAACATACATGAAACAAGTTAGCAGTTTGTTGGATTACAATATAGTAACTGCAATGAAAGTTCAGAAAAATGATACTGTACTATCTGTCTACTAATGAAGAAGTTTATGTGCAGGAAAAGTGCCAATATAGCTGGAGAAAAATATACAGGACATAGGGGCAGAAAAAGCTATTCAAACAAATGGAATACGGGTTCCTGAATAGTGTTGAATTATAGGCACTGTTGACAGAAATTGGTTGGAGGTTAGATAATTAAATACAACGAAAGCCCTCGGGTGCATGGCGGAATATAGATAGATGATAGACAGATGGACAGACAAGAGACAGACACACATTTGAGAAATAGAAATAATTCCTTCTCAAACAGTGAAATATATATTTTATATATATGGTATTCAGCTTTGTTCGGGTATTTTCCCACGTCATTATAGTTGTGCTTTTAAAGTTGTAGCAA